CGTAGTTCGTAGGTACTCTCCTTATACATCCATTTAGCGTAATGTGCTAGGAGCGTCGTCAGTTTTTTAATAAGTAAATTAAGATCCGTAGGTTTTAAATTGAATGTTTTTGTTTCCTAGCGCTAAGTTCAGTAGAGTAGAGTAACAGAACTCTAATGCGGAGCGCCGCGTATCAGAGCCGCTGTGTAATATTGCTTACTACAACATTATCGCTTCATCGTGGAAGATTTTCATGAACGCTTGTTCTTGTACGGTATTTTTTTTCTCAAAAATTTGAACTGGGGCGGGATGAAATCCGCCGGAAAAGTGTCATTGCATTCTAGGACATGACTTAACATTGTAACAAGAATATTGTGCTCGCTCGTCGCTCTACAGTGTAGCGACGTCTCTCTGTGAATAAACAAAACCTACTTCGCAAAAGTTCGGCAGTAGGGTAGCGGCATCAATCACCAATTAGAAAAAAATGAAACGAAATCTAGGATATGTACGATTTCCGAACAAGAATATATATTGCGTGATTTATTAGGTTGTTGTTGAGATGGCAGCCGTGAGGATGCGCCTGTGTGCGTGCAGGGAGTGGCCGGTGTGAGTGCGGCGCGGCGACGTGCCCGCGGCCGGCGTGCCCTCACGTACCGGCCGCCCGCGCCTGCTTGCGACTGTTGCGACACCGCACACCAGATAACCGCTGTCCGACGGATTGCTTTTGCCTACCATTTAGCTGGTAGCCTAAGGGGCTATTCCACGTTGGCGCGTAGGTGAGCTCGCGGGCTCAACTTACACTAGCTATAGTAAGAGCAGTACTTCGTATAATAGAATTTGCCACGGGATCGGAATCGCGACCCACTAAAGAGATCAGGTGAGAAACTGAGTGGGTTGTATCTGGGGACTAGTTCGCTCGTTGAGCTCTCGAATGGGCCGATATTTTGATTTTTTTTTACATAGTGGGCGTATGGTGGATAGTCGTGCAAAGAGATCGATCACAGAAACAGAAACGATGACAGTTCCGAGATGTCTTCACTTTTAATATGTCATGTGTTTCGATTTCACTCGAGCGAAGACATCACGACTGTGCCGAAGCACACCACCCGAAGCGAGCCGATGTTTCACGAGTAGTTGCGGCTCGCATCCACGACGTGGCACGCCTTCGCTTCGTTTATCGTGTCCGGATTTGAATTTTTTTCATGGTATATGTTAGTACAAATTCAAGTGTTAAATCAACACCCAACAAATGATCACTTAATATCTCATTCCTATAACCCTTCCTCAAATCATACCATAATTCCTCCTTCACACCCCATAACTTCTCCGTGACAACCAGATAAACCTTTTTGGGAAAAAAAATCAGAATTAAAAAATAACGTTCCAGTTCTTAAACGAATTCCCCGTGGTGCGAGGATTGCAGCATCACAATCGTTACCAAATTTGATCAAAAACGTTATAATACAGAATTCTGTTTCAGCCTGGGAGCGTGTCCTTCTTTTTCCATACAGAATTTTAAACATTAGGCCTAACAAAAATATTAAAACGACTATAACACAAACAATCAAAGATAATTGTAGCAATAACACATATACCTCTAGCAATGATTTCAATAATGATTCATTCATCTTGACAAACAAAAAATCCCACTCTGAGACCACATTTTTTAGAAAAGTTGAAACTAGACTCGGTGATGGTGATATAAGGGGTGCTGCAAATCTTTTGTTTTCAACTGACGTAATAGCACCTAATACCTCCGATACTTTGCAAGCTCTCAAAAGTAAACACGCAGATCCGTCATCAAACATATTTTTTCCTGACCCTCCCAGCTCTGAACAAGCCGTAGAGGTGTCCATGGAGGATGTTTCTGGTTCTGCTGGCGGGCTTAATAGCCTAACTCCACAGCACCTTAAAGATCTAACTAGTGGCAGCTGTGGCGCTGTCGGCCAATCGCTTTTTAAAAGATTTAATTAATTTTATGCTTTCGGGCGAAGTCAATGATAAAATCATTGACATTCTCTATGGTGCAAAATGTGATTTCGTTTAGCAACCTCTCTTCGCCTGGGGGCACCTTGCTGTGTTCAGCATCACTGCCAGTGTGGCAATATTGTCGACCGCTTTGGTTACCACGGGCTCTCATGCGCAAAAAACGCTGGCAGAATATCCCCCCACGCCAGCATGACATCATCCGTCGGGCCCTTGTCAGCGCCGGCGTTCCAGCCATTCTAGAACCGAATGGTTTGGTGCGAGGCGATGGTAAGAGACTAGACGGTATGTCGATTATTCCCTGGAAGATGGATCGGTCGCTCGTTTGGGATGCGACTTGTGTAGATACCATGGCACCGACACATCTTCCTGCGACTAATTCTAACGCTGGCAGCGCTGCTTCAACGGCTGAAGGCCTCGAACGGCGGAAATATGATAATCTTTCTAAAGATTTCATTTTTGTTCCATTTGGGGTAGAAACTTTGGGCCTCTGGGGTCCATCTGCTAAAATCTTTTTTAAGGACCTTAAAAAAAATTATTTGAGGCCTCAGGAGACCAAAAGACCGGTACGTATTTTGCACAAAGAATTAGCATTGCTATCCAGCGTGGAAATGCTGCCAGCCTTCTGGGAACGCTGCCAACTGGCGGTGAGCTAGCACAGATTTTCTATTTATAAGTAGCTTTACCTACATAATTATTATATAATTTTTTTATAGTGTATCAAGGTAATTTTTAAGACGACGGATCCAAATCGGTACTGCATCTTCCTACTAGGAAGTGATTTATTTAGGCTCTTTCAAAGAGTGAGCTCGATGCGAATCTCCTGCTGTATCAGGCACTGAAACATTACTCCCATTATCTTCCCCTTCGGCGAAACAATACGCGGGGTCAGGAAGATCAAGAATCCGGGAGTCTTGCTGGATACATCCATCACCTTTCGGTCTTCCATAAAATATGAGCCACCGCGGTGCTTTTTTTTCATCGATAGACCTTTTGATCAGCCAACGTAGTAAAATGGCGCGGGCGAGAAGCCACCTCGCAGTCCCCGTAGCCCGTAGGGACTGTCGAGTGCCGAGTGCGGGGGCGCCCAGCACTCTACTGTCGGTCCGGTGGTGAGGTGGTGCAAGGTGGCTCCTGTGGGCCGCTCACGGTGTGTCTCTCTAGACGACGTTCTTTGGGATGATCCCGAGGATGAGATCCCGTCCTATCATTAGTGCGGGTACCAGCAAAGGCGGGACTTTCGGCGCGCACTGCGATGCCGTCGATACCCTCACGTCGAGGTACGTCCTCACGGATCTTTGCTGATAGACGCTACCAGTAGCAGCAGCTAAAGCAAAGGTCGCTGTTGAACTCATCGCGAAATTTGGTCCATAGTATCAGCCCGCTAAGTTTCCCGTCCGATGTTCTCAATGGATCAAACCTGGCGACAGGAGAACTTGCGAATTAGCAGCTCTTAAACGCTTGGAGTGCCCGGCAGTTGTTATCGAACCTTCGCCTCCTGGTTAGTTCTCGAATTGCGATAATCGATAATGTGTCTGGATCTAACGTGATATTTAGTGACGCAATTAGGATCAGATATATCGCTGCCGACGTCGCGGATAAGGTGCTTAGCAGCGAAGAGTTGTGAAAGGCGATACTCCACTTCTGCGAGATGGTGGTGCTAGAGTGAGAGGGGTAGAGCTCTTCCCATTCTGCACCGGTCCACAGTTATCGAGCCGGGGGCCAGAGAGCGAACTTCGTCCAGATTTGGTCCCCGTAGGAAGGCTAGGGCCGACTAAGAGGGTCGAGGTCGCTCGGTGTGCTACCAGTACTCCAGCGCACCGCACTAGTAGAATAACAACAATTGAACAGCTGGTTATGATCCAGGAGGCTATTGCGAGACACAAGCGGCACTACCTGCGGCAGCGTGACATGCGCCAAGACGGCAAACGTAGAGTTTTCAATTCATACCGACGACTCCGAAAGCTTTGTGTCTTGGGGTGAGCCGCGTCTCTGGTTGCAATGTTGACTACGATAACCCTATTACCTCTTCCGGGTTCTGTCTCAGACGCTTGAGTGGAAGTCTAGGGGTTTATTTTACTCGGTGGCAGCTACCACTTTGGCAGTACCACATACACGACGCGCCCTCTAAGCGCGGGGATATTTTTAAAAGGTTCGTCCCAAAAAGGTGTGTAGGCATAGATCCACACGAATATGTATGGAAACCTATTTCGTTCTATGAAATTCTAGTAGTTCCATTCTGTTCGTGCATTCTGGCCTAAAGTGTAGGATGGCCGTTATAAAGTTTAATGAAGACCTCGACCTCACGTCGCGAGGTGCGCGACGGCATTATCTCCTTTTTTCTTTCCCCTACCTAATCGTTAGTAGCCTTACATTATTCCAGCTACGGTCGGACAAGTACCTAAGTGACCTTACGGACTCAACCTAAGAATTTTATTAACACTAGTCCTAGCAAGAGCACTGCTTTGCTGAATCTACCACGGATTGCGACCCCGTGAGATGATCTGGTGAGAAACTCAGTGGGCTGTGAACTATGGGCTAGGTTCGTAACGTCGTTGGTTAGACACGTCGAACTCTTCGTCGATTTGGACGAAAACTGTAACCGCTTACTAAAGAGTGGGCCGTGAGCTCATTTCTAAAATTCACATTTAAAAAAATATGGAATGAACATCATATTATTATATTATCATTATGAAAAGAACGATAAAATTGCCTATTTATTCTCTGCAAAGATTAAAAAGCTATTAGCAAGAGTAAACTTTATAATAACGCCATCTTTATTCGCTAATATAAACTTTGAACATTTTCATTGGCAACATTTTCTAAAAGCAGTTAATGCTTAGTAACTTTATAGATGGAGGAATAATTCTTTTATCTATTTATTTTATTTTTCATGTTGTCTAACAGCTGCTGCGAGCATGCTTACTCGGATTGAAAATTAATGTCGATACATTTTGGTCTAGTTTGTTTTAGTTTACGAGTAATGAAGCTCAGAGCATACGCCATCTGTTGGTGACCTTCTTTTATCACACGACCTCAATTAGTTAATTATTATTGCAATTGGTCCAGAAAAACAGCATCCACTGTGAGTTTCTAACGTCACTGATCAGGAGAATTTCATATTATCGGTTTGTCTTAAATACATTGATCTGGATCATAAATAGGTCTCAATCTGCATCAATCTTGCATCAATCTTTATTGAGTCGAGATCGAGACAAGCATCAGGAGCAGCAGTGATGTCTGCGCAGAGCGGCGCCGCGGCCGCGGTGACGGTGCGGGCCGCCACGCGGGACGACATGCCCCTCGTGCACAACATGATCTATGTGAGTTTGCACGATGCTGTGCTGTGCTGTGCTGTACTGTGCTGTGCTGAGCTGTGCTGTGCTGTGTGTCTGCTTGTGTTTATATTTAATTCGATATGTACGTTCTGCCAAATTATTATTTCAGTACTACATTTAGTTTTGCTGTTGTATCCCCATTGCGACACAGATTGATATTATTAGATCTTTACCTACGAAAGGGTCGTTTAGTATATGTACTCGTATAGAGAAAGCTAGTTATTTGTTTTTTTTTTTCATTCAAAAATGTTCCCATGAGGTCAATGCATGCCTGCCAGCGCAGTGGTAACTATTCAATGCTCTTTTTAAAGAAGTCAGTTGTGTGGAAGCCAACGCTCTTCAAAGGCTTATTGATCAAAAAGATAGAAATGTAGTGAGAACAAAACAATAATCAAATCAGTACATATAAGTAAAGAACCTGAAAATAAAATATATGTAGATATAATATTTAAAATAAAATTCATTGGAATTAAGAATTTACTGCCAGCCATATAAATAGCTAGTATTATAAAAGGGTAACTTCAAGACGTATTTATTATTTCGGTCAGTGACGATCTTGGAGCCGGTCACTTGTCGTTTGGAAGAAGCTCTACATTGCTTGACGATTTGTCGTGGCGTCGTAATCATTTTCAGTGTCTTGTGCAAATGAGACTATCCAACATAAAAAACAAAACGGATTGAGTGAATTTTTAGGACCCAGGACCCTCAACTATGTGTGATCTGATCTGAACACTACAATGATTCAAACTGTAATTGAAGTTAATTAAATTTACGTGATAAATGTAATTTATGAATATAAAGTAGACGTTTGTTGGTTGCCTTTATATTTCTTTCATAACATAACATCTACCAGATACCTGTGAAAATCGACGAAAGATGTTCAAAAATAATAAAATTTTCTGAAACCAGGAGCTGGCGGCGCACGAGGGCGTCGCTGACGGGCCGAAGCTTTCAATCCAAGGTGCGAATACGAACTAAACATTGTACTAGTCGCATTAAGATGCGTGATCAATACTGATGTCGTTATTTGACTGCGCTTTCGATACAGATCTGGTTTCGGACGGATTCGAGCAGTCTCCGGCGTGGTTCTTCGTGTTGATAGCCGAACTGGACGGACAGGTGGCCGGGTATGCGCTCTGCAACCGCGCATACTCCAGCTGGACGGGGCGCGCCGTGTACGTGGAGGACCTGTGGGTGTCGGAGCGGCACCGGCGGCGCGGCGTGGCGCGGGCGCTGCTGCGGGCGCTGTGCGAGCGCTGTGCGGCGGAGCAGGTGACGCGGCTCGACTGGCACGTGCTGGAGGACAACGCGCCGGCGCTGGCGCTGTACGCGCGGCTCGGCGCCCGCGACCTCTACCGCTCCGAGCGTCGCCTGGCGCTGCGTCTGGACGAGCCCTGCATCTTGGCCGTCGCCGCGGGCCACCTGCTGCCGTCCACTCCACCTCAGTCGGGCGCCCATATATTTCCTCGTTTCGATTAATGAATTTAAACAGAAGAACTTCTAATGTCAATGAATCGTTTACTTATAATACATAATACATTTTATGACAAAAAATACATAACATTGTGTAAAATAATTTGTATTTGTGATTCGTTCAGCCTCTCGGTACTTAAAACTGAACTCGAGCCATTTGTTACAAAACTGATCATTCGTGAGCACGCTCAACATTACAAACATAATAATAGTTTTTAAGCTATTGCATTAGGGATGTAAACCGGTTCGAAGAAAACCGGAGAAAAACCGGTTTTTATACATACCGATAAATACCGGTTTTTATTTAAGAATACCGGTTTTTTACGCTTTACATTCACAGCTCACACCAGTGCAACCAGATCAAATATACAAGCTACAAATATAAAAAAAACCGTGTTTCAGAATCAAATTACCGTGCATTACATTTAAAAACTACAGTGCAATAACCACATATGGTTGGTTGGTAGACTTTTAGCGTACGAAATGAGGACCGTGACCAAAATATCCACATATCTGCACCCAACACTCAGAAATGGCTTTCGCCAACCAGAGCACATGTTGTCTGCAAAAAAGATGGTGCATCGTGAACTGGGGAATCTTCTTGAAAAATTTTTAACTGTCGCTTTATCATCGGAACAGCCAGAAAAAACCACAAACAATTTTAAAAACCCTGGTATTCTGGACTTTTTGCATTCGCGAAAACGGGATATTCCGAACGCCACGGCGGCCACAGTGAATATAGAGCGAATGTATATTGAGACTGAAGCTGCTACAGAAAACCACACCGAAATTGCTGGCACGTGCTAACATCCAGAAGGAGCAGGCTTCTGAATGATGCAGTGGACCAACTATGCCTCTTGCACCAAAATTTTAATTTAATACAATAGTATTAAATCAAAAATAAAAAGCTTTTTATTATTGGATAATATATATAATCATTAAAAGCCTATATAAAATATGCTCACCCAATTAATTGTATGAAAAAAACTCTTCGTTTGTACGTAAATTTGTTTTATTTAGTGATTATTTAGCCTTTATGGAAAAAACCTAAAAATACCTAAAAAAACCGGACCGGAGCCAGAAATTGTAATCGGTTCACATCGCTATATTGCATAGATTTTATCGCGGGCCTTGGGCGCGGCTTGAGAGCGAAATCGTGAAATTCCGTAAAAAAAAAATTCCACTCCTCACTACGCCCTACTAAGTACTCGTAGCTCGCGTTCAACACATTCACACGTTGCGCTTGTGTAGTGTATAAAGTAAGAAGTCTAAACACCGATTTATGTACTATCAAAATATGTGATATAATTTCGTGGGTAGCACAACGATAGCGCGATTCAGCTTTTGCGTCAAGCGCCATCTATCAGCGAGAAACGGAATTGTAAATTAGAAAATTATATCACATTATAATGCGTTGGGCGTGCCATTTTCTATCGCTTAGTCGAAGAATTTTATTACCACTCCTACTACTCATTCAGTGATTGGAGTGGAATTAAAAATAAACTAGCTAAACCGTTGATTCTGGGCGAATGAGAGTTAGAAGTAGCATCCAAAGGCGTATCTCTATCACATGTAGCGCCCTCTAGTGAGTGCGCGGTCAAAATGGAATACTCAAAATGTAGCAGATTCATTAAAAGTTAGCCCACTGAGTTTCTCGCCGGATCTTATTTTATTGTTGTTTTAATATTAAATTATATTATTGTCGATTTATAATTGCATAAGTTGATAAAAAATGCTATGCAATAGCTTTACCGCGGCAGTCTCCGAGTGCCACACGTCTTTTTAGAATAAGCAAAGTGGCACTTACAAAACCAATGTTTCTAAATCTATGGCACAAAATTCCTAGCACTGGAAATTGATTTACATTGTCTTAATACTTATGGTCACGACTGTACCCAGAGCACGGCCGGGACATGGACTGACGTGAGCGAGTCATCCAGAGGAACTATTTTGAAGGTGCCTGTTAGGTGGCAGCACTTTCCGCACACATGCGAAGGAATACCTGGCACGACTCCGGTGACAACACTCACGAGTAAAATGCGACTGGGTCCTGAATCCTTAGACTAAGCAATAGTTATATCCTTTAAATAATTATGAAGATGTCTACAAACATTTAAGTCGTTTAAGTGTAGGGTGTCCTTATTAGTTTACAAGCTGTTTGTTTGAGTATTTGTTATTGACCCCTATCTTACATACGTATATACGTACCCATATCATACGTAACGTAAAATGAACGACCGGTGACTGTTGAGTGTTCTGTTAAAATGATGACTGATACATCACTGAGTGTCGACCACCGTCAAATGACTTGTATGTATCCTGGGGGCTCCTCGTGCTCGGGGCCCAGGCTCAGTAAGCGGCGTGGACACAGCGCACGCGCGGCCCCGGCCGGCTCGCGCCAGTGCCGCGCGGACAGCGGTCGGTAGTGTCGCGCCAGCCGCCCGTGCGTCGCGACGTCCTCAGCCGCCCGGACTGCCAGAATGGTGGACTCGTGTTCCTGTGTAAAGTGCAACTATAATATCAATCGCAATCCTGATGTCTTCATCTTTGTTGCGAACCTTCCCATAATAATACAGTAATACTACTTTAATTATCCATTAGTTGTCCTTCAACACACGTATATTTTCTGTCGTGTTATTTTACTGACCTATAATAAAGTTAATGATTAGATCTTTAAGATAGAGTCCAAATTCATACGTTGGGTCCAGGCCGGGCTCGTGAATCACCACCGCCGCCGCCACTGAGACCTGACGATCCAATTGTGCTGGAGACTATATAGGGGTTGCTTTCATTGTATGTGTGTTTCGGATAGGGATGGTTCGGCTCCAAGAAATTAAAAGGTACATTTTTTTTCTTTTTTGTTACAAATAATGTATTCGTGCCTGCTCTATGAACGCGAGCTTTACAACGCAACTTTTTTTATAGTCCATCTGTTGTTAAGTGATTACTGAAATCCATAGACATCTACAACGTAAATACCGCCACCCACCTTGAAATATGAATTCTAGGGTCTGAATATACTTACAACGGCTGCCCCATCCTTCAAAACCGAAACGCATTACTGCTTCACGGCAGAAATAGGCAGGATGGTGGTACCTACCCGTGCGGACTCACAAGAGATCCTACCAACAGTAAAAGTACGTCAATTGCTATTGTCTGAAATTGGGCACTTGCAAGCGACTTGAGAAGTTAAGACTGGCGTCTTTTGAAATTTATGTGAACTCGCTTGGATTCATATTATTATTATTTTTCTCTACTGCAGTCCACATATGTCTACTAGCCCACCCTTGAATTGTGGGTTTGATTATTCCATCAAACTGGCTAGACCCATACCCAGCGCAGACAATGCAGAGAGCGTGCTCTCCAGGGAGTGGTAGAGTATGTGCGAGGAGAGGTTTTGTCCTCTTCCTCATGATATTTACAGACACAGAGCCCTCCGGTTCAACGAATATTAACGTATATAGTGCATAAAAATAGAACAATTGTTCTATTCCATGTGAACCTATCACACCAACCACCCGGTGTTATATGGTTTCCGTAGTCCACAGACATCGACACAGACATTGAGACATGAGGTCAAAGTTTCAATGAAATTATAATAAGAGCTGTTCAATCCTTCGAACGCATGACTGCCTTGTGGCTTGCAAAAAGAAATATTGTTCAATATCCGATAAGCGGATGCTCATTAAACACAGACCTGTGAAAACAAGCGAAGCGTGTGAGATGAAGGCGATCGATCGCATTATTTGTGTACCAGAGCAGAGGGAGGCGTTTAATGTAGTGCAGTGGAGCGTGCCGCATGGCGCCCGAGACGTGACGCGCCATGCGCGCGCTGCCCGCCGTGCTCACCACGCTCACCGCGCTCACCGTGCTCACCGTGCTCACCACACTCACCGCGCTCAGCGTGCACGCACACGCCGGCCCGCCTGCCCTGCTAGTGCTGCGTTCCGCCTGCTTTCGACAGGACTTGCCTCGTTTGCATCCAATACCTCGCGCTACGCTTCTCTCTCATCAAGGTACCCCCTATATATGTACATATGTGCTTGACGGGGCCGTAGTCTCAACTGTACTCACTAGTTTCCTAAGTCAGACTAATCTGACGTGACGCTACCTTTCAGAGACATGCGATGTTGGTTGGAACGAGCGGGTAACTCGGAGGGCCGTGTCGACTCTGACCGACGGCGGGCTGGTGGAGATCATCGGATGGCCCGGGGCCGCGGTATGCGAGTCCATATCCGTAACGGCGAGTGTACTGCGGCGGCCGCAGCCAGCCTCGTGCCTGAGGCTGAAGGCGCAGGCCGCTGCGGTGGCGGAGCTGGCGCGGAGGCTGCGCTGGTCGCGCGCCCTGCTCCCTCGCGCGCCGCCCTCCTCCGACTGCGAGGCCGCTCTGCGCGAGTTAACGCTCTTCCTGCTAGAGACCGGTCTGCTTGTCCGGCGCGCGATGCTCTCCGCCCGCGCCTTCGCCGACCGACCGGAAGGTGATCAACTAGTTTGCCTTCGCGGAACACAATTTTCCGACGTTTAAACAAACAAAAACAAAAACAATTGCTCTTTCCGTGTTTCAGTTCTCATTTTATGCGTATCGGTGGCTGCGAAGATCGGCAGCAAGATAGAGTCGATGTTAAAAGATACCGATGTTGTTATTTTGCTTCTACATTTTGAAGAACTCATGCGAGACGCTACTGACTTTGCTAATAAAGACATCGAAAACTTTAAGACAATGAAATCTGAATCAATAAAAGCATCAAAAGTCAATTACTCGTCAGACTCTACTAGCGAACGTGAAATTAATGATCACAAATTGAATCATGAAATGGTACAAAATTTAAATTCACCTCTAAGTTTCTACAACATTCATCGAAAAATGCAAATCAGGTCTGGCAAGTCCTCTATGAATTCAACTGAATTAAGTACAAATCAATTAATTGTTCCGTTCACGAAACCCAGTGAGGGAAATCAAACTGAGCCTGCGAATATTGTTCACGAAGGTACTCGGTCATTAGACGACCGTCGCGATGCTCGCGGAACAACTATGAGCACCAAACACGCAGAAATTGAATCTAGTCAAACGCTGCAAATTTCTAAAAAAGATTTAAGATACCTTGAGATTTTTTCTCATTTTAACGACTTGTTTCCTGGGTGGCTTTTAATTCTAAGTGAAAATATATTCGTCGAGGAACATCTGACGTCTGATTCCATCTCTGAGAAAGTCACAAAAGTGTTGGAGAGCGTTGAAGAGAGCGAGCGCGCGCGCCAGCAGAGCGTGCAGAGGAGGTTCCTCCTGTACGTGCGCAGCGGCGACCGCTCGGCGTGGAGCCGCGCCGCCACGCTCGCCACCAACCTCACGCGCGCGCTCGACGGCGACCGCCCGTGGGCTGCCACCGTCGCACTGCACGACTGGCACGCTCTGGAGCGCTGGAACGGAACCAAGCCCGAAGACGAGCGCGACCATTGGAACGGCTCCAACATCCTGGCGACCGTGCTGGGAGCGGGCGGCGCCGTGGTTGTGGCTGCCGGCGGAGCCCTGGCGGCGCGTTGGGAGGCAGTGCGCAGGCGCAGAAGGAGGAGGCGCGAGGACGTAGTGCTCACCCCAGTGCACTTTACCTTTCCCGCCGACGAGGCACGACGCGTCGGTGAGGGTATGGAGACTATGCTGTCCTGCTGGCTTCAGCAACTTCATGAATTCGGAGGCCCCGAACTGGAGCGACCAGACCTTCTAAAGAGACCTGGGGTCACAGCACGAGTGCCTTCTGCTCCCTCTTCCACTTGCAGTGTCAACCGTGTTGTGGTAGATAGACGAATAAGATATAAGGTGCGTAATTGTTTTCATATATTTCGTTGAATGATGGTACTTCATTACACTTTTAATAATAAATTTATGAGAATAATGCAAAGTGTGTGTGTGTGTTTACAGGGCGATGCGGTGCACTTGAGGCACTTGCAAGTGACAGGTACATTGGAGCTCAAACGCAAATCGACAGATGTACTTCTATTGATGCAAAACTTGCGACAGGAAAATGTCAATCCTTTCATAGGTAACATTCCCAACTTAACCTTTGTAATAAAGCGGTCACTAAACCAGACTCCGGCTGTCGCTATTTCTTTTCCGTTCATGTTCATAGACAACAAGACTCCATGGTTCTTTTTGAGGCGCCGCGATGAGGTTCAGCACTCTGTGCTTAACTTATTAAATATTATGTAACCTACTAGAGATGTAGAACATTATAAATAGTCTGTGTAAAGGTTTTTCCGGTGACACGTTGCATTTTCTTCTTTCTTTTTCTTTTTTTTTGTCGTGTTTGCCATTCATCGCACGATGGATACATTAAAACGTGGAAACATTTTTTATAACCTATGGTAAAAATATAAAAAATGATAATCATTTGTGATTGTTCCATTCGTAGTTACATTGAAACATTATTCCATATATTCATCCATATATTATATTTATATACACAGATACAGTATAATAGTGTAAGGTTTAACGACGGGAAGAAGATCTTCCAGAAGAGCGGGTAGTATTGCTCGGTAGACCGATGGTCCGAATGTTATTGTTCGGAACTTATGCAAGTTTATCTTGAAAATGTCGTAAGCGAGATTCAGGCACGTGTCAAATATCTTGTGTTCTGTGATGGCTACCGCCACAATAGTATGTGATAATATTTGTATGAACTGCTTCTCAAGCAGCGCAAGCGCCGACAAAGCAAACATTAAAGGAACTCCGCTTTCGCGACATATATATTTTAATATCATCGTAATATACATACACTCGTACATTATGTTTCCATTATATCCTAATTTTACTCACCTAAAGATATACCTACACAGTACAATAATGCATTGCTTATTGCACAGGTTGTCTCTGCGAAGGTCGACCGGCGCTGGTGTTCGACGAGTGCTGGCGCGGCTCGCTGGAGGACGTGCTGATGGCGGACGACATCAAGCTGGACTGGACGTTCCGGCTGTCGCTGCTGTCGGACCTGGTGAAGGGCATGCGCTACCTGCACGGCTCCCCGCTGCGCGCGCACGGCCGCCTCTCCTCGCGGAACTGCGTGGTGGACTCGCGCTGGGTGCTGCGCGTCACCGACTACGGGCTGCCGGCGTTGCACCGCACGCAGGGACTGCCGCCCGCGCAGCGCACGCCCAGAGGTGCCATGGACATCAGCATAAACAGCACTTGAACAAATCGTTCACTACTTAGTCTGGCCGTAAATACTGTTACAAAGGAAAAAAAAAAAAAACTATGGCAAATAACATTTAATACTTTTACAGTGTGTTAGTTTAATACATAAATATAAAAAAAATTAAAGTATAAAATCTTATTCGAAGTGGTCTCCATTGGCTGCAATACAGTCCTTTAAACGTTGAGGCCAGTTATCAATAGAAGCACGCACTCTTTCCATGGGTAAATTTTTCACTGCCAATCGTACGGATTGTTTTAGGGACTCCAAATTATCATGGCGTTTAGAGCAAGCCGTACTCTCTAAAACTGACCATATAATTATAATCCAGCGGATTAAGATCGGGACTAGACGACGGCCAGTCTTCAGCTCTGATGAAGTCCAAAACGTTCGTTTCTAACCAAGACTTATGACTTGGCGCCGAGTCTTGCTGGAAGGACCATTCTTGATTATTGAACATGGTGTTGTTAAGGGACTTCACTACCTTCTCAAGAATGGTATCTTGATACACTTGTGCCGATGTTCTGATACCTTTTTCACAAAAGTATGGCTCAGTCACTCCTTCATAGCTAATACCCCACCAAACCATCACTGAAGTCGGATAGTGCCCATGTTTTACTCTGTCGACTAATTGGGAAGCTTCCTTAGAGCTTTGAGCATAAATACGGTCATTTTTTTTGTTAAAATGTTGCTCAATTGTAAAAAAAATCTCATCCGTAAATAAATTTTTCTAGGACCTCCGTTTGCGTACCGCTTCAGTAGTTGTTTCGATTTTACCACCCTATTCTCTTTTAAATTATCAGTTAAGAAATGACCAGTACCTCTCTTATAGGCTCCAAGTCCTAAGTCATCTTTTAAAATACGCGCCATGGTTCTAGGTGCTATCTTCATCTCTCGAGATAAAATCTTTTGCTTTCGGATAGGATTTCTTCGAATTATTTCCCTCACTGCTTTGACCACCTTTTTCGTACGAACACTACGTGGACGGCCAGATCTTTTCTCTCACAAACAGAGAAGGTCTCATTGCACCTATTAATAGCCCGGTACAAACATTTTACTAAGACCAAGCGTATGGAGAGTTTTAAAAATTGCATTTGGCTCCATACCTATTTTGTGTAATGCAATCACAGCGATTCGGTTCTCTTTATTACCCCAATCCATTTTAATATCGCAAAAGATTGTACAATGTATTGGCGCCAAAATGAGAAAACTCAATGAGCAATCATATCAAAATGACAGATTCCAAATTCAAATGTAATATTTTGTTTATTTTTAATTGTAACAGTATTTATGGCCAGACTAAGTATATTATATTGTTAGCTTTTGATGTTAGATACAATTTTTTGGATGTTATTGCAGAACTTCTGTGGACGGCTCCCGAACTGATACGGGAGGCCCGAGAGGGCGGGGGCTGGCTCGCCACGCAGTCCGGGGACGTGTTCTCGTTCGCCATCATCATGCAGGAGGTCATAGTGCGCGGCGAGCCGTACTGCATGCTCTCCTTCACGCCTGAAGGTTCGTCTGCTTTCAACTTTACATGTTGTCTTCAGTGAGAGGATAAGTATTGAATTAGTCGAGTTCGACGCCGCCATTTCAGAGATCATCGACAAGCTGTGTCGTCCTCCGCCGTTGATTCGTCCGTCGGTGTCGATGGGCGCGGCGCCGCCCGAGGCCGTGAGCGTGATGCGGCAGTGCTGGAGCGAGGCGCCCGACCTGCGCCCCGACTTCAACCGCCTGCACGACGTGTTCCGGCAGATGCAGCGCGGCCGGTACCTTGCAACTTATCATTCACATTCTTTAGGTATTTCTCCGTACGCATTCATTTGCAGATACATTTATGGCAGTGGCCTGAATCTTGCTTACGGCATTATCAAAGATGAGCTTGCATATATACAACTTCCGAACGACAAACTTTCATAGCCCACTGAGTTTCTCACCCGATCTCTCTTAGTGGGTTGCGATTCGGATTCAGTGGTAGATTCTGGTAGACCAGAAGGCTGGTCTTGCTAGGGCTAGTGTTAGCAAAATGGTCAGGTTAGAGCCCCGTGAGCTCATCTACTCGCTCGGTTAATATAGTAGGTATAACCTCTCGAGTAGACTAGGGAAAAAAAGATCTTCGCTTTGTCGTTGACCTTGTTTCATACGTGATGTATTTTAGGATACTTTAATTAATTTAAAAAATATATAGCAAGTGGGGTTTAGCAGATCTTACAGATAAAAGGAAAATACTAGACACGAATCCTTTTAGCAAAAAGAAGATCAAATTTAATCTTATGTTTGTGATATCGAAATATTATTTGTATTTTACAGAAAAATTAATATTGTCGACTCCATGTTCGAAATGCTCGAGAAGTATAGCAATAATTTGGAAGAATTGATCAGGGAACGTACAGAGCAACTGGACATGGAAAAGAAAAAGACCGAACAACTACTTAATAGGATGCTGCCGAGGTCTGTACCCATTCACGGTCTGCTCTTTATCACAGTCCGTCTTCGCACCGCCGAGACGACTCAGTCCACCCTCGTATATCCTCGTATTCCTAGTGAATCATATCCAATAACGTCTTGCTTTCCTCTAGTACCTGTAGTATCCATACACATAAAAGAACGCAATAACTGTGTGTGACAACGTCACGCCCTCCGACTCACTCGCTTCTGAGTATGGAGCAGTCTAGGCGGGTCCCGTGTGACCCGACGACCGCAGGCCCCTCATCCTCGGGAGGCTTGCTCTACTGTTCTTGCTGAAATGTTTCAGCAGTGATCGGACCCACCCCAGACAAAAAACGGATCGAGCCTCTAAACATATACAAAGGTAAATAAATTATAAATAATTTAAAATACCACAGATCAGTCGCGGAAAGACTAATGTTAGGATCGCGAGTCGAGCCTGAGGAGTTCGAAGAAGTGTCTATATACTTCAGCGACATTGTGGGATTCACGGCACTCGCAGCAAGGTCTACAGCGGTGCAGGTGGTGGACCTGCTCAACGACCTGTACACGACCTTCGACGCGGCCATCGAGCAGTACCGCGTCTACAAGGTGGAGACCATCGGCGACGCCTACATGGTAGTGGGCGGACTGCCGCAGCGCACCCGCGACCATGCCGAGAGCGTGGCCACCATGGCGCTGCACCTGCTGCACCTGGCGGGGCGCTTCCGCGTGCGCCACCTGCCCGACACCCCCCTGCACCTGCGCATCGGCCTGCACACGGGGCCCTGCTGCGCCGGGGTCGTCGGCCTCACCATGCCGCGCTACTGCCTCTTCGGAGACACCGTCAACACCGCCTCTAGGATGGAATCTACAGGTACCATCTACACTTCCCTACTATTTCAGACATTACCTACTTAAGATAATTACAACACAAACTTAATTCAGCAATCGAAATCTCTGTAAAGTGCGATCTTGTTGGAGCTATTAATACCTTAATTTAGTTCTGCATGTGTCTAAAAGTGTATCTCATCAGGCTTATGTTTCAGGAGCAGCTTGGCGTATCCAAATATCCAGTACAACAGCTGAGAAGCTACTGGCTGCGGGCGGGTACAAGCTACGATCCAGAGGGCTCACTCAGATCAAAGGCAAGGGTGCCATGCACACGTACTGGCTGCTTGGTAAGGAGGGATTCGATCCTCCGCTTCCGACCCCTCCACCGCTTGAGTGAGTAACACACTTGCTGCGTCTTCTTTTGAAATGGGCACATTTATATCTCATTACAACACACATTTCAGTTGCGAAGGTGAGGTCCTGCTGGAGGTGGAGGGAGAGAGCGAGCCTGAAGCGGCTCCCGTGGACTCCGGCCTCTCCTCCGCGTCGCCGGACAACAGGCCAGCTCCCTATCTCACAAGTATGTTAAGATTTGTCAGCACACGAGTCGTAACTTGCCGCACATCATGAGCTAACATAGGGGGTTAAAGCATGAAATTAGACTTAGACAAAAAAGCTGGATACTTCGAATATTTGAGTGATTTTTGAATACGAGTTGCGACGTGGAACTAACGCTGCAGAAACAGCTCGCGATATCAATGTTGCGTTTGGAGAGGGGACTGCTAATGAACGCACCGGGCGATTTTGATTTAAACGCTTTCGTGATGGAAATTTTGATTTGAACAACGAACCACGTGGAAGACCGCCCACACATGTGAATAACAATGAACCTAGTGGAAGCCGATCTGAACCAAACTACCCAGAAATTAGCGGCATGGTTTAACGTTACCTTACCGACAATATTTGCTCGTTTGCGTCAAATCTATAAAATAAAAAAATAAATATGAAAAATGGGTGCCTCATGATTTGACTGATGTGCAGAAAGAAACGCGTGTTGAAACTTGTGTTGCCTTGTTGAATCGAAACAGAAATGAAGGAATATTGGATCGAATTGTGACATGTGGTGAAAAGTGGATTCTTTACGATAACCGTAAGCGAAAAATGCAATGGCTGACTCCAGGTCAAAAGCCGCAACAGTGTCCTAAAGCAAAGCTTACCAATAAAAAGGAAATGGTAGCTGTTTGGTGGTCATAGCATGGTGTTATCCACTATAGCTTTCTTCGATCTGGTCAAGCACTAGCGGCAGATGTCTACTGTGCTGAACTCCGAACAATGATTGCAAAGCTTGCAGTGAAACAGCCCTAACTCATGAACCGATCTTCACCATTATTGCTCCATGATAACGCGAGACCTCATACAGCACGAGAAACCGTTTTAACTCTACAGGAACTGCAATTAGTAACCAGACCTTGCTCCAACGCACTACAATTTTTTTTTTGTGATTTGGACAATTACGTAGAAAATTTAATTAATAATAAAAAGTTTTCTTCCAATACAAAATGCTTTCACACAGTTTGTAGAATTTAGTCATCAGAGTTCTATCGCAAAGGCATAAATGACCTCTTATTAGATGACAGCAATGTATAGATAATAATGGTAGATATTTTGATTAAATAATAATGTTAAATAAAAAAACAAATTTCAATTTTTCAGTAAAAATCGGCAATTTCATACTTTAACTCCTAATACATATAATACTGCATGTAACTAATAGTGAATATGCAGTAGCTGCACTCTAATCACTTTATTGATTCGTACAATTATAATTGTAGTGGAGGCACATTTCTCTTAACATTAATGTTCTTCCGAATTCCACATTGTGTTTGGGGGCATCCATTAATTAGATCAAGGTAAATCATTCCAAATCTCACTTAGGGGGGAGGGGGGGCCTTGGCAAATATCACCTAATTATATTTCTCGCAGAAAACGGTGTAAAATTGCATGAAAATTTATTTCTAGAATAAAATATGGCCAAATCTGAGAAAATAGTATTTTTCGTATTCGTCAGAACTTCGCAGAGCAGAAGAGCAAGTTTTTTTTTCTCAATATCCAACACTTTTATCATCCAAATAGAAGTTTTGAAGAATCTCGCGTGAGATTAGAGCAGAGGGGAGGGAGTTGAGAAAAATCTTACGATATCTCACCAGGGTGGGACAGGGGGTCACAAAATTCTCAAAAACGCCTCACGTAATTAATCGACGCCCCCTTTGTAATCTCATGTGTGTAATCTCAGCAATAAACAAAACCAGTTCCAAGTCTAGAATAGAGTCACCACAACCAAATAAACCGCTAGGTGTAACGAAACAAGTAATGAAGTTAAATAATTAACATATAAACCTATTTCTGGGAACAAATTAGACACGCGCATCTGGCCCCCAAATTAGAATTTCCTGTGTTCTGGGTGACACCAGAGACTGACATACATATTTATACGAGTGTGCGTGTCAACAGGTATATACATATATAGATAGCTAGCGACCCGGCCGCGCTTCGCTTCGGGAACTGTCATTTATTATTGATCTTATTGAATTTTCTATCTTCATCTTTCCTAATATCGCGCGCGCGGTTGTTTATGTCATAACTGTTCAAATATTTGTCCAAATGATGCAGTGTAAAAGACAAAGCTTATCTACTTTAAATATGTCCCTGATGCGACAGAAGTATTTATTTTGATATAAGTATCAAGTTGTTAGTACCAACTGTGCGTCAGAAATAAATTAACAGTTGTTATTGCATTTATGGTTCACTATTTTGGCTATAATGGCTTACATATAAAAGATAGATATATGCTATCGCGGACTTTTATGTGCGACTATTTAAGATGAACACTTCCCAAATACATTATATAAGTTCTCCAACGGTGTTTGCGGCGCACGTCAGAATAGCTCGCAAAGGGCAGAATTTTGTATCGTTATATTATATACATATTTGGATAATTCACACTATCTATTTATGTTTGTCACACGAATGTTTGCTCCATGTGGGAATCGAATCCACGTCCCTCGGCGCCACAGCTAGGCGCGCTGACTACTGCATCACCGAGCCAGTCACTGATGCTGCAGTCGTTACTCCGCAGGTTCAGAGCAGTCTCGTCGGCCGGTGTCGAGCGCGACCTCCGCGGACAGCTGCTCGCCGCCGCCGGAGCCACGAGGCTCACGAGCCCTGCTGCCCACCACCAGCGTCGACCACAGCGCGCCCTACGCACGATATAGGTCTAACAGTTCTAATAGTTCCGATTCAGGTTCTCGCTATAGTTCAGAAATAGGTGGTCGATTGTTATCGAGGGACACGATCAGATGTCTAAAGCTGTTCGTGATGCGATGACAGATGGCTGGGCGGCAACGCACGTACTCTGAAGCGGCAGTGGTCCCTGGAGCGCGGCGACGCGCTGGCGGCGGCGGCGGCGAGCGACGCGCCGGCCGGCAGTCGCGTCACGCCGCGCCACGCGCCGCGCTACCGGACGCGCGCCGAGCCCGCCGACGACGACTAGCGCCAGGAGTCCTCCGCCCGCACCACCGACACCTCCCGAAGCCCGCGCACGCGTCCCTTGCCCCGCGACGCCGCTCGACCGACAATAATTTTCGTAGTGATCTCCTGGACTGTTCGACTTTATTTATTTCTAGTGAGAGCGACGTCGATGTCTAATGTGATTTTTTTACGGGTGATTTTAGATTTTACTTACCTATTTAAAAATTTAAAGAAAAAGAAATAAATACTATTTTTCTCTTACTGTGTTTTTGTTGTTAATGACCATCATCTAAATCCTGAAATTGATTTTAAGGAATTTGACAAAATTAGCCTCTCTATTCTAATTCCAAAGGAAAATAACGGAGGAATGTCTGGTGATATATTACAATATTTCAGATCATATACTTCTACAATATTGAATAAATAGAATATCGTCATGGCCAAAGGCTAAGATGCCTGGTGTACCTTGCGATGCAACGGTGTTGGAATACTGCAGCATACGTAATGAATTGCGTACTAAATAAATGTTCACGATTGACTTCCACGGTGAAGGAATAACATCGTGTAGTAAAAATCAAACCCGCAAAATTATAATTTGCGTAAGTCCGCACGGCTAGGTACTGTTACGCGTTGGAGTTGAGGATAAATAAAAAATTCCACCAATTAATAAAATAAAACTGTATGAGCAATTGAAACACTTAAACACTTTACAAACACTGTAAAATTCCTAATTCACTTCTTTCGCTTCGCTTCAGGTAATCCGTTCACTGTTTCGCTTCGAGTAGTTCCGATTACAAACTGACTGCGTGCCATCTCTGTAACGCTTTTAGAGGCGAGACGACATGCCTAGAATCAAGCCTAGAATCGAGAACATTCCTCACAAGTTGAGCACTTTTCGATGTGTGTTTCCGCTATCTGACAATAGATAGCGTTGTACTTCGAGAGCGTTCTAGACGTTACTAGATCCTTTGATATTCGTTTCGGCTATTCGGCCATAGATGGCGTTACTCTTACCAGCGTAACAGTACCACCACCCCTTTTTTTTTTTTTTTTTTTTTTCGGGGCCAGAGGGCGAACCTCCTACGAGGTTCCCGCGCCTAGGGGGCGCACGGGGTATGTGGAACTTGACGATCTGCAAAGTGTTGGGAGCAGACCGCGGGTCCAAGGAATTTTAGGGCTCACCCACTAAGCGACTCCCCTGCACTCTTCGCCCAAGCGTCCGATCCCCTCCGAGGTCGGAACCTGGATGAGGTAGGGGGTAAACCGCGGTTAACGCTGCAACCAGACAGCGCAGCTCACCCCAAGGACGCCCAGCCGACGGAGCCTTCGAGGTCAATCGAAGACTCTGTCTGAAACGTCGGCCGTCTCGGTACGGCAGCCCATCAGGCCACCCAGACGGTGCCGCTGGTGTCCCGGAATACCCCGATGGACCAGAACCAGCCTGCCGGGTCGGGCCGCGATACACCGCCAACCGGTTGCTCTTTTGTATCTCCTTGGCACGCGCTAGAATGCTGGTAGCGCGCCGCGCGGCCTTTACCCCCTCAGGTCGCTCCTTGACCTTCACTGGGGGGAAGCTGCCATCTACAGGGGCCGGGACGTATGGGCGTATTCCCTCCTTCGGCCCCCGGCTCGACGGCGACGGATCGGAAAGGGATGAGCTCTCCCTCTCTCGTTCCGCCACCTCCTTCTGCGATATGGTGGACTCGCAGAAGTCGAGCATCGCCTTCCAGGAAGCGACAGGTCCTCTCCTATGACCGCGACGAGGGCGGCGCGTTCCTCGTCGAATCCGGAGCAACGCGCCAATGTGTGTTCCGCTGTATAATCCTCGTCGCGGTCTGTGCAATGGTGGCACTGCGCCGTCGGTTCCCTTCCAGGTATTTTATGCAAATACCGGTCGAAACATCCGTGGCCAGTAAGCTTCTGCGAGAACCGGAAGGTGAGAGGTCCGCGGTCGCAGACTACCCAGTGCCGGAGAACCAGGCGAACCGCCTCAACAGTATGGAGGCCGGCCGACGGGTCCGCTAAAGGATGAGACCACGCCTCCAGCACGGACCGCCGAGATTGGAGCCTCCGCGCTCTCACTATACCTTCGCCAGGGCACCCTTCCCCCCTAGCGCAAAGGTCGCTACGCCACCTGTAATTGGCAGCGAGCGCCTCTGCCTCCAGGTCCCAAGGTGGCGCCCCGGCGAGCAAGCACGCCGCCTCGTAGAAGACGGTGTGGTATCCTCGAATGGCCCTGACTGCGATCGCGCGCTGCGACGTCCTTAGCGTTCGCCTGACGCCAGACGGGCGCGCGATATGGTGCCATCGACCGCATCACCCCATGTATAGGCGGTGCGCCCTCCATCGTTTGGCAGAAGTCGACTCAAAGAGCCGGTCGTCGCCATCAGCCGAGAGCCCAGTTTCTCAAAGTGAGCGCGTAAGCTCCACCGACCATCTAGTTCGAGGCCGAGGTACCTGAGACCAGTTACCCCGACCCCGACGCGGACGCCACCGATCACGAGGTGGGCACCCGCAGGCGGCGACCGTCACGGGACCCGTGAAAGAGCAGGGCCTGGGTTTGGTCGAGCGCCACCTCGAGCCCCAACCGTCGGATCCTAGTGCGGAACACCCCGCTCGACGGGGAAACGGTACATGGCCCCACTGTGGTCCGATGCACTGGATTGACCTGTCTTCGAAATAGGAGCCAGCGGAGGTACGCGCATGATACTTCAGCGCCCCCGCGATCACAAACTAGGCAGGGTGTTGAATGTATTTTTAATATCTAATGATATCGCCATTGCCACCCCGCCCCGGGTTATGTCGTCCGAGAGGGCACGCGGGCGCAGAATTGCGTCGATTGTTGAGCGGCCCTCTCTGAAGTTGCTCCGCCATTCTCTCCAATATTTTGCCCGCCTCGTCCAGCAACACGATAGCCCAAGTACCACCACCCTGCCTAGTTTTGCCGTAAAGGATTAATGCTCAATAATGAAGGTTAGGTTTGGATTAGGTTTGGGTTAGGTTTGGGTTATTGGTGCTCGACAGCCAATGGGAATTCGGGCCCCACTTCCGGCGGCTGGTTAGGTTAGGTTAGGTTAGGTTAGGTTAGGTTAGGTTAGGTTAGGTTAGGTTAGGTTAGGTTAGGTTAGGTTAGGTTAGGTTAGGTTAGGTTAGGTTAGGTTAGGTTAGGTTCCCGTGAGGAGTTGCCAGTCTCCCATCGGGCGCGTCCCCGGGTGGCGGATAGGGGAATGCCTCTCAGATATGAGAGGTACCGGGGAGNATCTAAGGTGTGAAACGAACCGTGCCGATAGATGCGTGGCTGAGAAGGAGCTCAGTCTTGAACGGTGTGTCTTCGATACCTGGGCACCTCGAAGAACTATTAACGCCCTCCTTATGGCATGCCAGGCTCTGCTGTTTGTGAAATTGTATTCCTGCGCTACTCGTGGGAACTATATCGGAGTCAGACAACAATAACGAATATGATATGTACTCTTTTAATGCCATCCTTGATGCAATACCTGGAACATCAAAGGCAAAAGACGAAGAATCAAGGAAGGTAAATTATCTAACATCATCTTCGTCTGCTCGAAGCACTTCGAGTTCTGATAGTTGGACAGACGCAGAATCACGTGCATATAGTCGTAGAAACTTAGAACAAGAACGATTATCTCAGCATTTGGATTCTGAAGAAGTACAATCAACTCGTCCTTCGGCTGTACCTAAACGAAGTTGGACTCCAGATTCATCTGAGGATTCTCCCCAGGCCACAGTTGCGTTAAATGTTCGCAATCAGGAAGAAATCAAAACGCCATTGAGAGAGTTAATCGAAGCTTCTTCTGTTGGAATCCGCAGCAAATACCCCATGAGCGAATACCAAATGCAATTGATTCATAGATCTCTCTGTGATCTTATTGAAGATATAAATATAAAAGCATCAGGACCGAGTTTCTCAGGCTTTATTCACAAAACTGATTGGATCATGATTGTTTGTGACAACTCGAAGAGTGAGCGGTGGTTAAAAAGAGTTTTACCTACCTTGGAACCATGGCCGGACGCAGAACTGTCTATTATAGAAACACGGGACATACCCAACGTCACAACAGGAACCGCATACATTCCATACAGCGAAGCTCTAACCGTCAGCAGCGCTTTTAATTTGTTGAGTATCCAAAACCGTGGTCTGAACACAGAATACTGGAGAGTAGTGAAAACTACGTATGGAGAATGGGGAGAAATTGTAAAATTCACTCTGGATCATATTTCCGCTGAAGTCTTACGAAGTCTAAACGGTCGTGTCACACTTGGCTTCAAGAAAATCAAAATTGAAACAGAGAGTATTGTCAGTGAAACACTAAAAGGTCCCGTAGCAGGACCTTCAAGAATAAACCCAAAACGTCGCAAATTGGATAATTAAAATTTCACAACTCATCGAAATTCAACGTTATTACCGGCTGTTTTATGTTACGTACTTACAATATAAAAATAATTATTTAATTCGATCATAATCACTCAACGTTCTAATCTAATTGAAAGTAATTTTCATAGTAAGAACATGTTAGATAATATAGTACTCGTAATTATTTTATGTTTTCACAACACTTGCCTACAATAATATTTACTTTATACAATTTGTTATGTCGTCTACTTAATCAAATTGAGACCCATGAATAGGGTAACCATAATATATGTATATCAAGACCCCAATAAATAACTTTTAGTTTTTTAAATCAAAATATTACAAGGAATTAGTAAAATTCCGTGTTAGTTTAAAAAAAACACTAAAGCGTTCTGTATCATTACCATTTTTCATTCAGATATGTGTAAATTTTTTGTTACGTTGAATGTAAGCTTTAGTTCAGCATCTTTAAAATTAAGCAATATCTCAATAATATCACAAGAACGAAAATATACTAATTTATCGACATTTATTTTTGAATACGTATTCATTTCCCAGTCACCACGCGGCAGTCAGACGTCGGTTCTCAAATGTACGAATGTTGTAAGGTGTAATGTTGAGGGGCATACATAGATAAATTGTAAGACGGCTCGTATGATTCAGATTATTGTATGTGAATAAAAACCAGGTGTCTCAAATTCTATTGGAAATAAAAAATAAAATAAAAAAATGATGTGTATTATTTCATTTTACGTTTTTGGTTTATTTAGACCTTGCAAGTTGTATACAAAAAATCATTTAATTTTTTTATCAAAACCTGTTCTAACATTTCCAAACAATAATGCATATTTCCATTCTAAAATGGATAAACGGAATATAAATGATGTAAACGGATACTTATGAAATATGTCGATTACTTTTCAAACAGTAAATATTCAGGAAAATTATATATTATAATAATACTAGCTGACCCGGCAAACGTTGTGTTGCCTTAAATAAGATTGCTATGGAAATTCTACTGTAGAAAAAAAAACCTCATTTAACCACATAATACCTCATCATAAACAAAAATATATATCCAAAAAATTAAAATTAAAAATAAACGTTTGGGGTAGACGGACAACCCTTTTCACTTAGGTATGAAAAATAGATAGTAGCCGATTCTCAACCCTGACCGATATGCACGCTAAGATTCACTAAAATCGGTCGAGCCGTTTCGGAGGAGTATGGGAATGAACATTGTGACACGAGAATTTTATATATTAGATGTAACCAAGGTAAAACGAGAAGGGAAAAAATTAATGCATCACGGTAATAAAACTGGTAAGGTTTGAAGGTATGGTTATGTTTTTAAAGGTATTACGGTTTAATTGAAGTCTGTATTACCGGTGAGATATAATCTGTTAGGAATCGTTACCCGCTGAGAAGATAAAAAGTTCAGCAGAATTATGCTATGAACTCCGTAAGTTACATCGAACCCATTCTAGTGGCGTCCAACAACGCTGAGAGTTAAGGTGGACTCATCAAAATATGTCTACGGTGGATGCTGCGTGAGCCTGTTCCAGATTGAAGCTAACAACGGCAACAATAAGGGATGACGTGAAAAGATGTAGTAAATGTGGTAGACATGAAAAGACGTAGTAAATTTAAAGTAGCTTTTTGATATATGAAACGGAAACACGCATTTTCTCGTAGCGGCTAGACACTATGTATACCTTCCCAGAATTACTGTCCTTGAATATTGATTCTTCGAAGATTTGTTTTCTAAAGTTTTATATATTTTTAAAGCTACTAATAATAAAATAATTGCATTATATTTATGTTCTACTTTAATCATTGCATTTTCTAAATAGTTCAGCAAAAAATTTGATATGCGAGTTGTCCTCGGCTATCGTTAATTCCCGCAGACCACTTTTTTTTACAAAATATTTACTATTATTACATTTTATTTTACTATTATAAGATAAAATTACAAACATATATTTTTATTATAAAATTTTACTTGATGGCAGTTTTAATATAGTTAATTAAGCATAGCATTATATAAACAGCATTTACTGAGAACTTTACTTAATTAATAAATAAGTCTAAGAACAAAAGAATGGGAAAATTTTGTCTAGACACTACTCTCATGGTTGGAAATAACCACAGAGAAAAATAAAGATGAGATTCCATAAAAAGGTAAGTAATTTAAAAGTGTATAATTGAAATAAATAAAAAATTGTGTTAAGTAGAAGTCGAAAAAGAAAAAAAAAAAAAAAAAACTACCTACTACTTCAATTTTAATTTTCAATGGTAATGTAGTAAATTCTCATAAAATTTTTGCATTAAAACATAAAGTGTCGTTATATATATTTATTTAATGTATCACTATTGTTACTGGTTTTCGCTGATTCCTTGAAATGAGCTTAATTGTGGATACGCCCCCCAGATCCCACCTTGTTTCAGATGCAGTTCATTCTATTGCGCAGACGTGTCGCATATTCTTGCTACACCGCTCCACACGTTCATGGAATTAAAAAGGGAACACACCATAGTTAGAAACGACGAGCCACATTGTCAACACATAGCATACAGGTGAGTTCTAGTGACCTATTTTTTATTGTTTACAGTCCTGAACGGCAATAAGTGACCAATTACTTAAATTCTGAGTATCGTAAATAAACAAAATGCTTTTATAGCTGTCATTATGTATGTTTTTGTAAGCTGCTCACAAATACTAATTCTATTCATTTAAATTTTACTTCAATAAATTCCTGTATTAAAGTGTAATAGTTGACTAAAAATCGTGTAGAAGCTCCAAGCCTAAGACGTTTTGAGTGAATTCATTAGACAATATAATTAGCGTCATTTTTTAAGAGCTTATAGAAAGAAAAATACAGCACTAATTGATTGCATTTGTGGTTTAGTCTATCTAATAACTTTGAATTCAACTAATCCCTTAATCATCAATAATGGATTGGATCGGAAAAAGGTAAATGCCAGGCAATTCATTAACACTCTGTCGGTTCAGACGTAGCTACAAATTGCGGCAATTCCTTGAATTTTAAATAGGTCTCATGAAACCGGGTCAGAGGAGCTACTAATGTAATTGAACGATTGAAATCCCCTGTCACACAGATGTGAGCTTACGTAAAATGCATAGCTCATCGTTTCTGAAACATTTCTAAAAAAACAGACCAATCACTCTTCACTCTTTTAGATATGTTAAGGCAGTACAATTGATGTTTCAACTTCTTTAATCTTTTACTACTATACTAAGCTTTTCAATTATTCATTTAATAAATTAATGTGAATTATCAAGGTTTTCAATTGTGGTCTGGGTATTCGACAATAAAAAAATATTGGTGTATTGTACTGATATATAACAATTATGCATTGAATATTTGCAGTATCAGAATAGTTGCATATACTTTTTGAAACAACCTTTATTTTAAATCGGTGAGCTATGCAGGGGCGCTCTAGTTTGAGAGCCGCCGATATGACAGCGCTATCGTAATCGAGAGGGCTCTGTAGGCATGGGAAAAATACGGTTTATACAAAATACTATATACAATATTATTTTACTGAAAAATAACGTTAATGTAATAATGATAATGATATGTTCGTGATCTATTACCAAACAATTTATTGTTATGGTAATACTAATGAACTTTAATTGGATGACTGGAAAAGCTTGATTTTGGTTTTTTTCAACAAAAATCTGTTTGTTTAGATTATTAATTGTTAAAACATTTTCAAACAAAACATTACGTTGATAAAACGCGAGTGGTTTTAATTTTGTATCATCAAAGAAAATTTGTTTATTATGAACAAAAAACTTTTTTAAATTATAGGGATTCAGATATGATTAAACACATACTACGCTGCTCACTCGCGTTTCATTTTGCATATGACATGACTTCGCATGACTTAAATGGGAATATATTTTCGAGGCTCATGGGTATCAGCAACACTAGATGATATCACCGCTTAGATCCCTTCAAGTCTCGTTTGAAGGAAGACATGATATCGACGCATCGTAGATAAGCCATTACACATTATTTTTAATTGATGTATTTAATTTATTTTGTATATGCAAGTTAAATTAATTTGATTTAACTCTTTTCAGGTGCTCAGCAAAAATGTCTGTGCTCGCGTGTATTTTGCTAATATTCCTGATAATAAGAATAATATATCGATTCATCTCCAGGAGATGTAGAAGGCTCCGGCGTAGACATCGAAGAAACATTAGATGGTTTAAACGATTTTTAAATAGATTCATCTATATGTAAAGTATCCTTGTGCCATATATTATTAATGTATGCGTATTCACACACTTATGGGATTACAAGATCAAATTCCCGCGAGATAGTAGTCGATGAATTAACAGCTTCTTCTAGCATGGAACCGTTCGCTTTTAGTGGTAGTATCAATAAAATCTATGTTAAATAAATCCGTTTTTTATTTAATGAACCTTATCGGAAAATATTGTTTAATTGTTCGTAAAATCAACTCTGTTGTTCGTGTCCACTTGATCAATATTAAAACATTCAATTAAAAAAAATAAACATTAGCTTGTTATTTGCGAATTTAATTTTTTTGTGCTTTTGTAATTTTAAAGTGAAACAGTACGAGTGATTGATTTATCGTTACTAAAGTAAAATTTTATTATCGGTTGACGGCTAACGTCGTTCTACTCTATATTTATATCCATTTTTCGTTCTTAGCTTTATATGAGAAATGGAGCTTACACTAATGTGTTAAACACACACACACACGATTAAGTGGTCACCAGAATCAACAGTCAGCATTGCCACCGTCCTCCTTTGAATATGAAGTTGAAGTCTCATTTACATTTTTTTTCCTACCTATGCCGACAGCCTTGAGAGGCTATATCAGCTAACACTAGCCCTAGCAGGAGCAGTGCTTCACAGAATTCACCCCCGGATCGGAAATGCGACCCACTGAGAAGATCCGCCGAGAAACTCAGAGGGCTGTGTCTATGGGTTAATTTACTCGCATCCCGCGTGTATCCCATCCGCCGCATTGCCCGATACACAAGTACACCAGGCTGCCTTGCCTATTACGTCACAACGATTTTCGTATTCAGTAGCAGAGCAGCTCACAACATTGATCTTGACCGGCACCGCGAGACAGGCTCAATTGAATTAGGATAATGGTCCTTGTATCTTTCATGTTAGAGTGGTGCCTACCCTATTTCCCAACAATACAGTCTTAAATACCGCACCAGCTTCAAAACTGGAACAGTTATTATGATAGAAGTTCTATCATAATTAAAATGTTCCAATTGGGTGGGATGATAGAATAACTACCCACTAAATCCAATTAAAGGTACCTTTAATTTGGATGTTCGACAAACTGTAATCGCGGTGTTGGATTCGCTTCGAACTCAGAACGTCATCTGTACACTTCTATTCGTTTCCACGATAATTGTTATACAGCATCCATGGACCAATGTACCTTTCTGTACCCATCATGAGTTCGGAACGTCCATGCTTCAGAATTGAATTCGACTCCTGTAAGTTCAACGGTTGCCTACGTTTTAAAATTATATTTAAAAAATAATTGTGTTTATAATGTATCACATACATCGAAGTTATGGCTTTAATTTTTTTCTAGAATCGGAGACGGCACTGTACTGCATTGTTATTAATGAAATGCACCAATAACGGCGCAATGCACATCGTTTTCCTG